CACATGTGTGCACACACACACATTTGCTAATTACCTAAAAAGCACTTTCAAGAGAAGACACAGTGGTGAACAAATATAAAATCCTCATATCACTAATCATCAGGTAAATGAAAATTAATGTATGAGATATCAGCTTAGTCCAGTAAGAATGATTATTATCAGAAATACAAAAAATAACAATGTAACAATGTAGTGATTCCTCAAAAAAATAGAAATGGAACTGTCAAGTGATCAAGCAGTCCCACTGCTGGATATATATCCAAAGGAAAGAAAACCACCTGTCAGTGAGACAGCTGCACTCACATATGTTCTGCAGTAATGTTCACAACTGTCAAAAAATTGGAATCAGTACAGCAATTAACCACTAGGAAGAATTATGCAATGTGTTAATTATTGAAACTGTCCTACCAATTTGGTTTGAAACTGTCTCACTGCTATTTGTTTCTCAATAAAATTATGGGAAAATAAATAAATAATTTTTAAAAAATTGGAATCAACCTAGGTGTCTATCAGTAGATGAATGGATAAAGAGTATGTGATGTGTCTATACAGTGGAGTAGTATGCAGCCGTGAGAAAAGAAATCCTGTCATTTATAGTGACACAGATGGAACTAGAGGACATTATATGCCGTGAGATAAGGCAGGGAAAGAAAAATGCTGCATATTCTCATATGTGGAAGCTAAAACTGTGATCTTACAAAAGTGAAGAGCAAATGACAGTTACCAGAACCTGAGAAGGGTGTGACCAGAAAAGAGGATGTTAACAGGGGCAGGAGTAGAGTACAGGAGGAGTAGAGGAACTTCTCCTCATGTTTGGGAGCAGAGCTAATCATTGTTAGTGGCACTTAACTGTATATTCAAAATATCTTAACTGTATGTTTCAAATAATCTGAACAACTAATTTGAAGACAACAATATGTGCTATAACAGCCGTTGTTGAATTCATATCATTTTGTGTAGTGAAACTGTATGTCGCCTTTGATGGGTTTACTTTTTTGGGGGGGCGGGGGAGGATCTACAGGGTGTTCAGGGTCTCACTACTAGATAGGACTCATAGTGATGTGTTTGTTTACAGCCTCCCAAGAGCTGGTATTACAGGCGCGCCACCACGCCCAGTCTCAATCACCATCTCAGCGTGCCCCGGGGGCGGGGCCGGCACTGCAGGCCTGGGGATTGAACCCCCGGCCCCCGCGCCTGCTTCCAGATGCTTTAATCTGCTGATTTTTACTATTTTTTTCTCTTTTAAAAAATTAAAAAATGAGAAAAAAATAATAGTAGAAGGGATTTGGAATGTTCCCAATACAAAGAAATGATAAATACCTGAGGTGATGGAAGTACATCAGTTACTGTGATCTGACCATGATGCACTAGACACAGATATGTAAATGTCACACTATTCTCCATAAATATGTATAATTACTTTTTTGGGGGGGGCGGAACCGGGGATTGAACTCAGACCCTTGCACTTGCCAGGGAAGCACTTATTCTACTGAGCCATCTCCCCGGCCCCTACGATTTTATTTTTAAAACTATGTGATGCTAACATTAGGAGATATATAGACCAATGGAATAAAATTGAAAATAAAGTCTTACATTTATGAACTGATATTTCAACAGAGAGAAAGACAATTCAGCATAGGAAAGGATAATTTTTAATAAATGGTGTTGGGATTACCAGATTTTCAAATGCAAAATGAAGTAAACTCCTATTTCACACCATATATGAAAATTAACCCAAAATGGGGGGGGAAAAAAAACCTAAACATAGGCACAAATCCTCATGAACTAGAATTAGGCAATACTTCTGACATGTAGCAAAAAAAAAAGAAATAAAGAAAAATTAGATTCAATACAAAAAAGTTAAGCTTTTATATATTAAAATACATTTCAAGAAAGTGGAAAGATGACCCACAGAATGTATTTGAAACTCTTGTATCTCATAAAGGCTTAGTTCCAGAATATAGAAAAGGCTTACAACTCAAGCACAAAACTCAATTTAAAAATGGGCACAAATACAAAGACACGGCTCAGGACTTGAATGGGCATTTGGCCAAAGAAGATATACAAATAGATAATAAGCACATGAAAGGATATCCAAGGATAGTAGGGAAATATAAATCTGATTCATATTCAGGCATCACTGAAATGTCATTTTGTAGTCGCTAAAATGGATATTTAAAAAAAAAAAAAAAAAACAGCCTTGTCAGCCCCACCACCTGGGGCATGCTGAGCTGAGACTGAGACTGAGTCTGGACATGGTAGTGCACACCTGTAATCCCAGTGCTGAAAACTGGAGGATCACCACGAGTCCGAGCTACGTAGTGAGACCCTGCACCAAATACATAAATGAAAAAAACAGAAAACAGGAAGTGCTGGTACGAATGAGGGCAAATTGGAACCCTCAAACATTGCTGGTGCTAGGAAAATAGTGGCCCACTTTCACTTTGGAAAAGAGTAGGGAAGTTCCTCAAAAAACTTAAACACAGTTACCCTACAATTCAGCTCCTGTGTACATACGCATTAGAACTAGAAACTTATGTCCACACAAAAACCTACAGACCAATATCCATAGCAACAATACTTGTGAACAGAAAAGTAAAAGCAAGAAGAACACACAATCTTTGAATTTTTATTTATTTATTTATTTAGATACCAGGTCTCGCTACACAGTTCAGATTCATAGTGATCCTCACATCTCAGCCTCCCCAGCGCTGGGATTACAGGCATGCACCACCACGCCCGATTTCAGGGTGACACAGCCCACCCACAGTTCTGCGGTCAGCATGGCATGTGAACCAGGGATCAAACTCAGGTCCTTGGGCTTGCCACACAGGCACTTAGACTGCTGAGCTGTCTCCCCAGCCGAACATCCATTTTTTTTTTCTTTTTTTCATTTGTGTATTTGGTACAGTTTCTTATTACACAGATTAGACTCGTGGGGTGATCCTCCTGCTTTCAGCCTCCTCAGCACTGGGACTACAAGCATGAGCCACCACGCCTGGACTGTCACTGGCTCAGTACGCCCCAAGGGCGGGGCTGGTATGACATGCGGGAACAGGGATCTAACCCTGGTCCCAACGCTTGCCAAAGCAGGTGCTTTGTCCACTGAGCTATCTTGACAGTCCTCCAATTTTTGACAATGATTTGTTGTTGTTGTTGTTTTGTTTGTTTGTTTTGGCTGGCTCAGGCTGCCTTAAGGGCGGGTCTGGTAATGCAGGAGGAGGTGGGGATCAAATCACAGTATCCTGCGCCTGAATGCATTTGCATGAGCAGGCGCTTAAGCAACTGAGCTAACAGGCAGACCCCCTCCAATTTTTGAATGAATAAACAAAATGTGACATTGCTTTTACAATGGAGTGTATCACTTAGACATAGAAAAGAATGGAGTAGTATATATAGATGATCCTCAAAAATAATATGCTAAGTGAAAAAAGTGCAGACACAAAAGGTCACATAATATATGCTTCTGTTTATATGAAATATCCAGTCCATAATTACTGGAGAGAATATGTATTAGTAGCTGGCAGAGGTTAGGGGTAGAAATACATAGTAACAGGGCATTCACTGGGTTTCCTTTCCTAGGTCTGTGAAAGCATTCTGTAATGAGGCAGCATACCACTTAATGCATACAGTAAGCTCTCAGAATTTCAAACTTTAAAGGGATAAAGTTTATGGTGTAAGAATTATGCTAATGAAAAAATCTGAAAGAATCTCCACACCCACTATTCTCCCCAACAGCAGCCACTCTAACCAATCCGAAAGGATGGGTCTCACTGTGCAGAGCCCTGAGATGTGCTCTCACCTACACGGGATAAAATTCAAAGCCCTTACCCCCTAACCTACAAGGTCTTCCTGAATCTACTTCTCTGACTTCACCTATTATGGATGTTCCTCATTTAATGATCTCCCTGTTTAATGGACACTCCAGCTTTCAGCCACAGGGCACTGTTGAAACAGGAGCCATGGCTCAGGCTCATGACTCGCATTCAGACTTACGATATGGGAGTGCATGGCAGGGCCGACCTATGGTGACTTCTACAGGACACTACTGTAATTCTTTTTTTTTTTCCAGAACCAGGGATTGAACTCAGGCCCTTGCACTTGCCAGGGAAGCACTTATTCTACTGAGCCATCTCCTCGGCCCCTGCTACTGTAATTCTGCTGATTGATTGTACTGCACAGTAGAGTACAGCAGCTTTATGCTGCCACAGATTGGACTCATAGTGATCTTCCTGTTTACAGCCTTCCAAGAGTTGGGATTACAGGCGTGTGTCACCATGCCCAGTCTCAATTGCCATCTCAGTGTGCCCCAAGGGCGGGGCCGGCACAGCAGGCCCAGGGATGGAACTCCTGGCCTCTGCGCCTGCTTGCAGGTGCTTTAATCTGCTGAGCTATTTGGCCGGCCCTTGTTCTGCATATCGTGGTGTACATGCTACATACAATTCCTCATGTAGCAACCCACTCACTAGTCACAGGAATCAACCTTGGTCATTAAACAAGGAACATCTGTACTTACCACCTATCTACCATCTACCCTGCAGCTACACAGTTCTGCCAGTGCCCTCTGTCCTCACTCTCTGTCTCCTGCCTAGAAACTCTTACCTCATATGTGCAAGGCTGGCATGAAACTTCATCCAAGTCTTATCCCAAATGGCCCTTTCTTAAAAAGTTCTCACCTGCCCACTACCTAACATAACACTCCCTTTCCTGTTTTCTTTTCTTATAAAATATATCATAATCTAACATATCATGTACTGAATCTATATGATTACATGTTCTGTATCTTACTTAGAATGTAAGCTCCATGAAAAACCTTAGGTTTGTTTTTTTTTTTTTTTTTTTAATATCCCTAGGTGTGTAAAAGTAGGTGCTAACTAGTATATTCCCAGTACAAGCTGTTCGATGAATGAATAAATGAATGTAATAAAAGGTAAAATGGAAGAAACACACAGGTAAGGTCCTCTGAGGCCCGATGGATTGCATCAGCAGGGACCGCTCACCTGCTCCAGGTTGTTGTAGGTGACACGACAGTAGCTGCAGTAGCCTTTGCTCCTCTGCATCGTGACTAAGCGAGGACAGACAGGAGCTGTCCTTCAGCACTCGCTGCGAAAAAGAAATGGGCCAGGAGCCCGGTGAGTCCTTCCTGCTAGGCGGAAGGTAGCTCAGAAATTCTTTCCTGTTTCTGACAGCGCTTATGAAGACACAGAACGCAGCCATGCATTTTTCTGGAGACAACAGTCGGCCCTCTATTTAAACAGCAACTGTTGCCAGCGCTTGGAAAATTAAAGGACTCGATTTCTTATTTGTTCTCTAATAACCTGCTAGTTAGTGGCAATTGATTCAATAATGAATATAGAACTGGATTTGTAAAGATGAATTATTACTTCTAAGATATTTCTTTCATGGAGCTCTTTAATTTTCCTATGCTTTTTCCATACAAAACTCTATGTTATTTGAATTCTTAGTGTCACAGATAACAACGACAAATTCTCTATCATGACAGTATAGTTATCACATGCCAGCATCTACTCAGCTCACAAAAACCAGGTTTTAGACTACAGCGGTGCCTCAGTGCATGAATTTAATTCTTTCTATGATTCTGACTGAGAACCAAATCAGACAAGATTGGAATCAAATCCACTGGTTGGGTTCAATGTCAATCGTATGGGGAAATAGGATTCAGTTCACACCCAATTTGATTTTCAACCAGAATCATAGAAAGAATTAAATTCATGAACTGAAGCATCACAAAGACGCTAAAAATCTGATAAACAATTAAATCAGTCTCTGGAAACCCCACCTATTACTCTTCTGACAACCACATAAACCAAATAAATATTAGGATTTTTTTCCTACTACTGTGCTGAAATTTCTTACAGTTTCCTACTACCTAAAACCATAATCCTTCAGCATTATGTTTTATAGCAGTTTCAAACTAAGCAGAATGCCAACATCACTCTATAAAGTTCTGAGTTAGTAGAGCTGAGTTAGAGCCTAGGATTCAGGACTTCAAAATGTTCCCAAGTAATCTTGATGACAGCCCACTTTTATTAGCTGACACAATTGTGTGTATGCAAATATATAACATTTACATATACATATAATTACATGAAAAAATAATTCAATACAGTTTCCTTGCTGGTTTGCTAAGATGGAACAATTAAAATAATTTTTCAGCTTTTAAATTCTAGTAATTTAAATAAATTTGTCAGTTAGAAAACATGAATCCTTCTACAATATGCAATGAGTCCTTCTAAATGAGATGACTGTTCAATGGAAAAAGGCTTTCTCTTTTCTTTCTTTCTCTCTTTTTTTGAGACAGGGTCTTATATGCAGTTAAGGCTGACCTTCACCTCACTATGTAGCTGAGGCTGGCCTCGAACTCACAGCAATCCTCTAGCCTCAGCTTCCTGAATGCTGGGATTACAGGTGTTCACCACCATTGCAGGTTGAAAAGTTTAAGTATTAAAATCAATCCGAATGAAAGAGTAAGTCAAATTTGAAAGGTACAATAGTTATAGTAAAAGGGAAAGAAACCGAACTTAAGGAATAAACAATTGGAATGAGGAAAAGGAGAAAAGATAGGGGAAAAAGGAAGCTGAAAAATTATGTATGTATATACACAGGATAGCTAAATGATTGTACTACTAATTTCTTTCTTTTTTTTTTTTTTTTTTTTTTTTTTTGGCAGAACCGGGGATTGAACTCAGGCCCTTGCGCTTGCCAGGGAAGTGCTTATTCTACTGAGCCATCTCCCCAGCCCCTACTAATTTCTATCAGTTGTTCTTTTTTTTTTTTTTTTCTTTTCTTTTTTTGTCCCGTACTGGGGATTAAACTCAGAACCCTGCGCTTGCCAGGCAAGTGCTTATTTTATTTAATTGTCTCCCCCAGTCCTCTATCAGTTTTTTGAAGATAGCAGATAATAATTAAAATTTTTATTTGGACCAATTGGGTTTTTTTTTTTTCATTTGTTCATTTGTTTTTGACACCAAGTATCAAACTCAGAACCATGAGCCCGCTAGGCAGGTGGTTATGCCTCTGAGCTATCTTCTCAGCCCCAATATATGCTTATATCTGTAATCTGAACAATCACATTAAATGCTCAATGTTAACAACCACTGTTGAATGCCCATCATCTTATTTTTTTAATTGTATATCAATTCTAATATCTTATCTATTTTTTTTGGGGGGTCGGCAGAACCGGGAATTGAACTCAAGCCCTTGCACTTGCCAGGCAAGTGCTTATTCTACTGAGCTATATCCCCAGCCCCTTATTTATTATTTTTCTATTCTCTTTAAAACAAATAAAATAAATCCGAAAACTGAAATGATACCTAAAGCTAGTAAGATGAGAATACAAAGCCTTCAAGTCGAAATTCTATTATAATATGCATTTATCAATGAGTTTGTTGAGAATATATGACTTTCTAACTTCCAAATTTATGGGGGAAATCAACTAATTAAACCAGCCCTTGAAACAATGTATATAAAATTATTTAAAATGTGGTCTTGTGCTTACTTCACCAGCATATGTATTAAAATTGGAACAACACAGAGCTTAGCACAGCCCCCTGTGCAAGGACAACATGTAAATTTGTGGAATAGTCCACAGTTTTAAGGTTTTTTGTTTTTTTTTTTTTTTTTGGCAGAACCGGGGATTGAACTTAGGCCCTTGCGCTTGCCAGGGAAGCGCTTATTCTACTGAGCCATCTCCCCGGCCCCAAGTTTAAAAAATTTTTGAGCTGGATTTTTTTTTTTCCAGTCCCAGGGCTTGAACTCAGGACTTTGTGCTTGTGAGGCAGGTGCTTATGACACTGAGCTGTCTCCCTGGCCCCTTAAAAAAATTTTAATAAATAAAAGAAATTTAAATTTGGTCTTTCTTCCATTAATTTGCTACATGTATTAACCTGAAGCAACAAAATAAGACAAAGTTTTAAATTATATTTATAAATAGGGTAATTTTTTAGGCTGAGAGAATCCTAGAGTTTAAGCCTAAATTTTTTAAATCATGAAATAACAAAAATTTTCATGATATTATGAAAATACTGAATGAAAAGCAAAACGAAAAATTCATCTAAGTCAGGCACGGTGGCTCACACCTGCAATCCCGACACTCAAGGGGCTGACGCAGCAGGAGAATCGTTGCAAGTGTAAGGCCAACCTGGCTACAAATGAGTTCAAAGCCAGCCTGGATTTCACATGAAAAATGTGTCTCCAAAAAAAAAAGAAGAAGAAGAAGAAGAAAAAAAAAAAAAAAAAGGAAAAGAAAATCTAATATCACACACACATGAATTAAATACTAACCTTTAAACCGCAAGGCATGATCATGCGCTATTTATATCATCTCTCCTGTTGCAGTGACGTGAGTTACAAGGAATCAGACACACATATTGGTATTTTTTTAAAAATTCACATTTCAGAACCCCATCTAAAACTTAACAAATCAAATTCCCTTGGGGGGATGGAGAAGAAAGCCCAGACGCATGAATATTAGGCATTGTGAAAAATGTTCCAAGGGACTCGAAGCTGATCCAATAACCTAAGTTATCATTTTTAATGAATAATAAAATTCTTACCTATTAAAAGGATCATTTCTTCATGGTCAGGGATTATATTACTTTGCCTGACCTTTTGCAAACTCTGAATTCCATTATAACCTGATATTTTTTACAAAGTAACAAATGACGTACCTTGAGCAGGAAAGGGCAGACACCTCCTCAGCTGTATTAGCTCCCACAAACATCTGCAAATTAAAATAAAACAATGTTTTAAAAAACAAAAAAGCTAAGTTGCCTAAGCACCTATTATTAATCAAACAAATATCCTCATATTAAAATTTGAAAAGTAACACAATTATGCTTCCAGTAATGGAAAACAGAGACTTTAAAATACAAAGCAAGTTATATATTGTACCATGACTCACTTAATATTTTTTCTCACTTAATATTAAAATGCAACCTCCTGACTATGGTGCCATATTCTGGAGCACAGTGGCTCTGCCAGCCCCGCTAGCCCACCGTAAGACCCTTTGGATTTCTGAGTTCCAGGACCAATGCTATGAAAGACTATAAGGCACAAGGGCATCTCTGGTAAAATTAAGGACCAAAGTGCTATTAAACCCAAAATAAGCTTCATGAGAAAATTTAAAAGGAATATATGTGTGAGATTAAAGTTTGGGTCTTGGACTAATGACCCAAATGCTCAAGCTACTGTATTAATTTTAATAAAAAATATTGTCAATTCTTTACCGTCCACCTGCATCAGTGGACAATTACACAGAAGGCACAGTGGGTTCCCCCCCCACCTCATTTTGTTGTGGGCGAAATGTTTCACCTAGGACCACTGGATAGAAAAATTTCTAATACTTGAGTTCAAAAAAAACCAGTGGCAGAGGGTGATTTTTAGCACCCGCTGGGAGCTTTAAGGGACTGACACAGGATGAGACAAGCTTTCTTGCCATCTAGAAGTTTAAATGAAACTGGAGAATGAATGCAAAGGCATTAAGCAGACTCTAAAAAGTGTGGGACTGCACATACAGTTCAGGGGACACTCTCCTAGCATGCCTGAGGCTTGGATCTGACCCTCAGCATTGAAATAAAAATAATAGTAGTAGTAATAGCAATAAAAATAATAAATAATAGCTAATGGGTTCATTTGCAGAGTTCGGTTTTAGCTGGAGTATCCAAAAGTCAAAATAGATACGGTTTTCATTTTGGTTTTGACCCTAGGGATTGAACCCAGGGTCTTCGTTTTGAGTTACACCCCTAACCCATTTTTTATTTTTTACTTTGAAGCTTAGTGATTTTGCTAAACACTAAGTTGCGAAGGCTGGGCTCTGATCTTGCCTCAAGCTCCCAGGGTGCTGGGATGACAGAGGTGAGCCACCATGCCCCCCAGTGGATATGTTTTTTAACCAGGTTTTAGAAAACAGAATTTGCTTACACAATTGTCAGGAAAAAAAGTCTAAGAAACAAGCATGGGCTTGAAAGCAAAAAAATACAGATATAGCTGGAAACCATAAATGCACACGTTCAGCTGAATCTAAGCTTTTGTTTAAAAAATTTAAAGGGGTAGAGCTGGGGAGACAGCTCAGCAGGTATAAGCGCATGCCTGGCAAGCGTAAGGTCCTGAGTTCAGTCTCTGGTATAAAAAATAAAATAAAATAAATAATTTTTTAAAATTAAGGGATGATAAAGCAGGGAAAGTAAACTGCATGTTGACCTGGTAGGATTCAAAAGCAGACTAAAAAAATGGACATCTAAATCAGAACTAGTTTTTGGAAACAGGTATACTCAAAAAATGCTTTAAGAAAATTCTGGAACAATGGTTTCTTCCTCCTCAAAGGAGATTTTCAATGGGCAAGGAATATAATTGTTAAGAAACTCGCCACCATTTCCTAGTACACTAGTAAATTAGTTAAAAATAAAAAAAGACCAAAAACAAACAAGAGAACTAGTAAATTAGTTAAGACTTAAAAAACCCAAATTCAACAAGTCAGTACCCTTTAAAGCAAAGTCTCACTTGAAAAAGGAAAATAGCGTTTTAATTTTTAAAATTGTTTTAAGTGACTTTTATTATAAAAATAAAGCACAGTTATAGTACAATTATAAAAACAAAGAAATAAGGAGTGTAAATAGCCATAATCCCACCACTCATCATTAATATCATTGTTCTAAGCGTCTTTTTATAAAAATGGAATACTGTAGGCTTTTTCTATTACAATTTCCCTCACTTGTCTGTGAAGTATACGGCATCATATATGATTCCAAACCCGAACGTGTAATAAATACACAGTTTTTGCATCTTATCAAGAGGTAAAACCCCTCTTATTTGATCAGAACCAGTTAAAATTTTAATATGCAATAATTTTAAAATTCAATATAATTTTAATATTCAATAATTTTAAATTTCAATACTTCTAAAATTATACACACATAACCTTAATATTAGAATCTAAAACATATGCCATCTATATATGTTTAAGATCAAAATGGGCTTTTTGCTTCATTGTTGCGTAAGGCTTTTGTTTTAATTTTTTAGCCAGATTAGGTAGTGTTCCAAATCATGTTTTTCATAAACCACATCATAATTGATCCCAAACATTTTATTTTTATTTATCTAAAGAAGAAAAACAGCCTCAACACAGTTTCAAATCTGAGAGCAAATTTATGATTTTTCCCTCCAACCCCTTACAATTGTCACACCCATTTAACAATGACTTTTTTTTTAAGGGCAAAGCATTACATTTATTTTTCTCAAAAATTGTAATGCTATTTTTTAAGTGATAATGTTCACCCTCTTAACTCATTGGTTTTCTTTCTTTCTTTCTTTCTTTCTTTTTTTTTTTTTTTTTTACAGTTAATATTGCATAAATCCATCTGGAACTGCCGGAGGCTGTTTTTGTTTTAAGAATACTGTATTTCTTTGCACATCGAGATCCGTACCAGATGCTGAGATAAACACCAACAAAAATACCGTGGAGATGACTTTAGAGTTGCACTATGTGCTCCTCAAGGTAACAATCCAGAATCCTCATTGCAAATATTTTTCAATTGTTGGACAACAGCGAAATCAACTTAATAGAAAATAAGAGAAAACGGGAGGGCGCCTGATTTTTTTTTTTTTTTTTAAGACAATCTAAATTATCTGACGGAAAGCAAACCACTGGGAAGTAATCACAAAACAATGATCAACGATCTACAAAAAGGCTATTCTAATTCAGGGTCAGCTCTGTCATACAACGCTGTTAAATAATTTTCAACTTTTCTTTCTGCTATTTTTTTTTTCGTTTTTGTTTAATTATCCATACTCTGCAGCCTTTCTCTCCACGGTAAGCATCCTGCACATCTCCACGCAGTCTTAATCAAATAATAATCGCTGACGCTCATTCAGAACTTAATTTGAAAAAAAAAAAAGGAACTTAATTTGAGCCTGGCACCCTTGTCCACCGCTTCACGCGCACATCTCACGCAAACATTCCACGGTCTCAAAAAGGTAAGAGGCAAGAAAATTCACACTTAGCAAATCAGGAAACTGAGGCTTAGGAAAAAAAGGTTATCACGTTCAGGTTTCGCATCAATAGCGGGCATAGCTGGTCACATCTGATTTGTTTATGCTTTAATCTCCTAACTTCTCTGAATGTTGCTGGGTTTTTCAGAAATTTTAAATAATTGTTGGACTATTAGGTAAAAACAAATAAGTAGGCACAATTTGGCGCAATAAACAACGTCACTAAAAAAACGCAAGAAGAAAAAAGGTAGAATTACCATTTAGTTTAACTGCATCATTGCTGCTATCTCAATACCTAAGTGTAATGACTCCAAATGTATTTAGCATGACATCGCAAAAAGCAATACATGTTATTTACAACCTAGCGCGCGCACACACACAGACACACATATACACACGGCATACATGCCCAGTTAAAAGATTTCATAAAACAATACCCTCAGTCCGTGTTTTCTGGCGTTTTCTCTACTGTCTTTAATTTTACTTTTTAAAAACACTAATCACTGATTTTCATCCCTGGTTGAAAAATCGCAGTCTGCAAATCACCGCCACAAATTGTTCTCAGAGTAAACAATATTTTATAGAAACCAGTTGCTACCCCGAATCC